TGTCAATAAATAAATAAAGGTCTTATCTTACCCTTTGGGAAGAGAGAGAAAATATTGGTATCCTGGCCAGATTTTTTTCTCTTAGCATTTTCTAGTATTAAAGAATTGAGGTCTTGCTGAGTTCATAATGGCTGTTGATGAAGCTTGCATAGGTTCATACTGTACTACCAGTATGAAACAGTTTTCCTTTGTATACTGCTTCTGAGACTATGAAAATGTCCTTATGAACCCATCTTCTGTAAACTTTATTTTCTAGAATCATGAATTTAGGATATATCATAACATTTCTCCAAAAAGACAGTACAGGAGACCCATACCATTCGTGAGGGATACATTCTAGGGATCCCCATGAGTGGGGAAATCCATGAATACTGTACTGTACCAATAATAGGCTGGAGACAATAATTCCAATAAAATGCTAACTAGCATTTTATTCCCTGCTCTAATAAAACCTTTAGTTGATACTGCAATGTACTGAATGTAAAAGTATTACCAGAGCACAGTAACAAAGTGTCATCATGCCATGTGGCAAGAGAGCATGGATTGGTGCAGCACACCACAAATATTCAAAACCGTGACTCGCAAATTGCAAGGCTTTCCTGTAAATACCTAACTAACAAACAGTTACTAGTAATTGTTAGTATTGCTCAATATTTATAACTGGTCATCCAGTCTGGGTTGGAGCACTGAGTTGCCTCAGCATAAGGTTTTCATACATTTGGAGAGTATCAGTAAGTCATAACTTCTAGGGTCCTGATGCATATTACAGTTGAGATGTAATTAACTGGTTAATCACTTCTTTAGTAATGACATAGCCACACATTTGTTCAATTCATGGCCTGATAAAACAAGGAATAAGTGAAGAAGTGATTACATATATTTTGTGTAATAACAACTATGTGGTTGGTTCTTATCACACCTTTAATTGAGTGTGACCAGTGGCCTCCAAAGCAAGGTCAGTGATTGGACCTTTCAGCTGGGGGATGGGGTGGGGGGGCACTTGCACTCCTGTAGCTGGGGACCCTGTCAGCTGATCAGAGTTCCCAGCCATGGGAGCACATGGCTGAGAGCTCTAGCCAACTGATGGGGCTCCAAGCCACAGAAGCCAAGATTGCCAGTACAGGTGTGACCTGGGATCATGATCCTAGGTTCCCCTTGCACTGGCAGTATGGCATAATGGGGTCTGATGCTCAGTTCCACAGTCATGCCTCTAACCATGCGTTTGTGTGGCATAGCAGGAAGCACAGTTGTTGGGATTGCGCATCAGATCCCAACACCTTTTCCATGTCTGCCGGTGGCCTAATTATAATATTTCTTGTTAGTGGCCAACTGTTCTGTTTTGGGTGGTGTTCTACACTTAATACAAAGCATACAGCAGCATTGGAAACCATGTGGAAACTCATTTAGGTTTCATGGTTTTACAGTGCATCTAATAATACAGTGCATCTTCATGGCAGTCTCCACATTTTATTTCTCTCATTTCCTCAAACTAGATATGGTTGAATTTGAGGGGGGAGTTATTGGTTATCCAGCGTGGAATAGCTAGGAACCTTGGTGTTCCCATTAGCAACACCAAGGTTACAAGTAACACTATGTGGAATCTACAGTTAAATAACTGAAACTGATGCTACCCTGGGTAATGTTAAGTTCTCTGACTTGTATTTTTTTTAACTGTATCTCCTTTTATTAGATCCTTGCCTATTCCATTGCCTGTTCCTGCATCTCTGCTTTCAGTGTTAGAATCATAGAAGCAGAGGAAGCTGACAAGGTTATGAACAAGTTGCAGACTTTAACAGAAAATAATCAGCAGGTTGTATCCACAACATGGATTCCTTACTTTCTGTTATGCTTTTTAAATGTCCTTTCTTTTGTACCATAAACATTGCATCCTCTTTCACCTATGCCAATATTAGATGGAAGTCTCTTAGGACCTCTCAGGTATCTGTTGAAACAGTGTAATTTGAAGATGGTACCTTCAAGGCCATTTGTTTTATTCATATATTTCTTATAGCAGCAGCTCATACTCTATTACTAAAATATGAAATAAAAACTGAATTTATATATATAAGTATGTCTAAAAGTAAAGCTTACACTTTTCCAGTTGCATTCCCAAGGTTTTTTCTTCCTAGGCAAATATCCTTTCTTTACCTTTCTCTTTTGATTTATGGACAACTAAATGTTAATCTTCCTGTAGATTTTAAACAGCAGATCATAGTCACAGTCCTAACCAATTCAGATTGATGTTTCAAACTCAGATTTCTTCAGGTAGCCTTTTACCCACTTGGTACTGAATTTTCCCACTAACAGATGACAGCTCAGCATCTTCCCATTACCTCAGAATCCCTTGACTGCTCATCAGTCACAATTTGACTCCCTGAGTATCAGTAACCCAGTTTCAGTGCTGCTCCTGTCTTTCTACTATCCACTGATTGACAATGTGGTGTTATACAACCTGTCAGAATCAAAACTGATCTTTGCAATAATCACAATAATCAGCAGCCTATTACTTTTTTGGAGACGTAAAATTAGGGATTTCTTTTCTAACCATTTTCCTTCATGTTAGAAAACCATTCTCTAATACAGAGGCTTCCATATTGTAGCCTTTGGTTATTGGGTACCCATTGAACATGTGCAGACAGCTGGCTGGTCTCATGGTGCTGGTTTTTCCTTCTTTTCAACTGCTAACTCAGAGTAAAGAAGCTAAGTCATATGATGTACTTTCCAAATATTACCATCTTATATGAAAAATTACTGTGGTTGTTACAAGAATGCTGCGTAATGGTGAACGAGAATGTTGGTGTTTCATGCAAACATGAATGGGTAAGAACTTGATCCTTGAGACATTCATAGGATGAAATGTCATGCACCCTGCGAAGACTTGGGGAACACCCTACTCTAAAACACAAAAATTACTCTAGTGTAGAAATTTTTGTTAAGACTCCATTCTTGTAATGGGAAGTGTCCAGGTATTTCAGCTGCTAGATCATGTCCATCCAGTGGCATCTTCCTCTTCTCTAGCTTCAGAAGACCCCTGAGTATTTCCAAATGCTTAACTTCAATTACATCCAAAATCCACTGATTTCAGTAGGATTATGTATATTCTTAGAGTTTAGCATTTGTTTATATATTTGCAACATTGGGGTGTAATTTCACTCTTGACCTAAATCTTTCTCTCTCTCAGAACTAGAACCCTTGTTCATTACCTTTGAAAAGATTCTCTGTTACTTGACCTCACAAGTTCTGACAGGTGGTAGTAGCAGTCCCTGGATCCTTTTTTGCTCCCTGGTCATTAGAGGGTAACATGATTCCTTTGTATACAGATATATGCACAAACATACATGCTTAATCAGTATACTGCCATACATAGGAGTCAGTATTTTGTAACTAGCTGCATCAATGGCACTAGATTTGTACGTGTGGCACTCAACTGTCTAGCCTTGTTGGCCAAATGAGTGACACAGAGTCAGCCCACAGGCCAAATCCTGCATGGGGTCATTCCATGGCTGCAATCCAGGATGTAAGCCCAATCCTGTGCATCCAGATCCAGCTACATGCTGGTCCTATCCCGTGGAACTGGATCTAGCTGCAGACCACCCCCATCTTGTGCTCCCAGATCCAGTCATGCACCAGCCCCATCTCATGTACCTAGATCCAGCCATGTGCTGGCCAGATCTGGTGTTCAGGGCCACGTTATATGGCCTGTGTGATTCACCATAGGTTCAGAAATTTGACAGTAGGGGTGCAGCAATTACCACTGGCTCTGCTCCCCTGCTGCCAAATTTCTAGACCCTGGTGAAGCCCTGCAGGCTGAATGATGCAGCCTGATGGGCCAGATCTGGCCTATGGGGTAGGAGTTAAACACTTCTGGTTTAAGCCAACTATTTGTTTTAAAAGTACCAGCATTTTGGTTGACAACAGAAATTACAGTATATAGAATATGTCAGTGTGAAGTACTGCTCAATGAAGATGTGAGCTGTTATTTTGGGGGAAAAAATGTGTGTGGGGGAGGGTGGGGAGTGTATGCGCAAACACCCACACACTACCCTGCCTTTGTGGCAGTTGTTTTTACTGTCTTTTCCTTGTTTTGTTTTTTTTATAGACTTCTGGTTATGCCTTGGCACTGGGTACCATAGTTCATGGTTTGTCAGTCTTTGGACATGGAAAAGCAGAAGACCTGAGCAACAGACTATTACATGCTTGGATAAAGATTGTACTTGCAGAGGTAGAGGAGACTGTCTCTATCCTTTTATAAAGAAATTGCTAAGGAGCTTATTTCATTAAAGGGGAAGAAATGGAGATCAGGAATAGTTTCACTGTTGGAGCAGGTGATTTGATTTACTTTTAGAAGCAGTAATCTCTCTAGTTTGATATAAGAAAAAAACTGAGCTTTCTTGATTTACAAAAAAACAATTATTGTTTTTGGGCTGAGAGCTCCATTCTGTTACCTTTACTCATCCTGAGTAGCAACCAAAGCTCCAAGTGCTCAGCCTGACATCAGTTTCCTTACTGGAGTGAGGAACTCCATAACAAAAGTTAAACTAGTAGAATCCTGGGATCCTTGTGCTTTGCCATTTTACTGTAAATTTACCCTCTTGAATGGCTTTTTTATTAAGTAATAAATGGCTGTAGCTCTGCTTTTATGAGCCAGTAATTGCCATTGCTATGCCCAGTGAATACAGCAGCTACACTGAGATGCTTTAATTGGATTTACAGTAGTAGCTGGAGCTGAACAATTCTAGGCTTACTGAAGGTAACATTAATCACTGTCACTGTAACTGAATAGAGAACTGAGTGAAATGTATTCATTTGTTATACTTGCAATTCTGTACTAATAATTTAGCCTCTTGCACCAAAAATTACATATAAAATGTAATTTTAAAAGCAACCCCTAAATGAATTCCCCAAGATAGGACTATAAGGTAAATATTAACAGCAACACAGGGTTTTAACAGCATGTTTGAAGACTAGGTCATCTGAGCATGTTTCCAGGCATACTTCATGTTAAAGGTATTAGATTAAAATACGTTATAGAAGGGTGCTGCATCAATGAGAAATGCCTGCTTGTTTCAGTGAGAAAGAAGAGGGAGGTCCTATATAATGCAGTTCATTTTAGAGGGGTAGCAGTGTTCCTCATCCAGAAGCCTGGTCCAGAAGTCTGTTGGTAGGAAAAGAATAGGTGTAATCTTTAGAGTTAAAAGGAAAACAGTGCCCTCTTTTTGAGAAGAAAATGGTTCTGTGCTGTGTCCACCATATTACAGCCCTTTGGGTTGCATTCATTTTGATTTGTGTTTTCAGGAGTCTCCCACAATGCAGCGCCTGGCTGCTGTGAATGGGTTGGTTGCATTGGTGGGTTCTGAAGGAGCCACGATACAGGTAAAAGAAACAAGCACATAAAACCTTTAGTTTCCTTTAGAAACAAAGTGTCAAGGTATGACCTGAAAAATACAATGAGATCATATCTCTGAGAATTTTTTTGTATGTTTTGGGTTGGTAAGGGAATGTTGTCAATACACAATTAAATAACTAACAGTCATTTAATATATCCACATTCAGTGTTCTGCAGTGTTGAATTAATTGTACAACACTTTGACAGAAGGTCTGTCAAAACAGAATTTGTCTCTGGTTGCTTTCAAGCATACTTGGAGCTGGTGGCAATGAGAAGTAACCTTCTTCTTCCTTCACTAGTTATATATGTCATTGTCTCATTTTTCCTTTTCCTTGGCAGTTGAAATTGGACACTATTCAGTCTTCCCAGTTTCAAAATAAACTTAATGAAGTCATCAGAACCTTGATTCAGGTGAGTGGGTGGTGTGTCATGTCTGTTTCTGATTCTACTTGGTAAACCTAGTGCTATGATACCTTGTGTGAAGGGCCAAATTGATTTTTTTTAAGCATAACTTACATTTTGTGTTGGTTTGCTTTTGAAGTACTGGATGAGGTAACCAGCATTAATTGCAGCTAGAAATATTAATCCATGTCCTATGATTGTCTCCACAGATAGTCAGTGTTTCTGGACAGATTGCCCTGCAGACAAATGCAGCCTGGCTTTTAGGGCACCTTCATCTGTCCAGTTTGTCCTCAGACCAGAGCAGGGCATCTGGTAAGAAGTTTTTGTTGGTAAGAATGCACTGTGGTAGCACCAAGAGGCCTCAGTCAGTGGCCTCCTTATGCTAGGTTTGGTACCCACATAAAGTGAAAGGACAGCCTTTGTGACTCGAGAGCTCACACTTCAACACACCAGAACAGCAAGCTCAAATAATTGATGTTTATGCTCCAGCAGAGTCCCATTGAAGTCAGTGCTGTTCAGTGCAAAATCCACCCACATATTTGTGTTTGGTGAAGCTCTCCATAAAACATGTTCCTATCAAATCTGTGTGTTAAAATAATATCTAAAAAAAAGTGAGTGTGTATGCTTGAAACTTACAGAATAGTTCACAGTTTTGGTTTAAAATTGTGCAGAAAGGCCTTTCCCTCGGTTTTTGTAAGTAAAATGTGTATTCTGTATTCTGAGAGCTAATCGGATATCTGGTTTGGCCTACTTCATATTTCAGGAGATTCTGCTCTTAAATATGTCAATCATTTGGAAACCAGCTACTGCGAAAAGGAAAACGAGTAATTTTTTAAGAACTGTATGTTTGTAAAGAGCTGTTCTGTGATTAGTTGAAGCACACAGTCAGCCTCCTAAGGAAGTGCAGCACTGCTGTTTACTGAGGATGGAATTTACCCCCAGTAAGAGGGGAAGCTTTAGGACTATATACCGCTTAACATCTATTTTGCAGGCTCACATAGAATGTAAAGTGGGGCACAGACTCTCAATTTCCCCTTAGCAAATAGGTGAATTTCATTCTGCTAATGATGAGAAATTATCACTGCATGGTATCTACTAGATAAATGATTGATGAAATATATGTGTTCATTAAAGGGAGCTAATGACCCATGCTATCAGTGAGTTGGTACTATCAAGACGACACATGTTCAAACCACAAAAATATCTCATTGACCATGCATGCTGGCAGGCACCAGAGAATGAGTAGGCATCAAGTGTGACTGTGTTATTACTTCCAGGTTAGGGTTGAGGCACATTAGGCCTGTGCATATGTGTTATGGAGGGGGTTGAGGGAGGAAGTTTCCATCATCATAGGTTCTCAGTTTATGAACAAACTAGTTTTTCAGTGCTGCAGTATGGCAACTTTTACTAACCCTACATGAATTTGGAAAGAAGAGGGCAAGAGGAAAAAGTGATTATATTTGCATTAATCCTTTGGTCTAATAAAAATAATCACTGTAACAGAATGTTGACAAATTTGTAAATAGTTCATGCTTACTTTTTGAATGTAGTTGGAACCAGGAATCTCTTACTTTTCCTGCCACATTGTTGACACATTTCAAAGTCTTTTCTTGTTCCAGTTCCTCCAGACTTCAGCTACTTGCCTGAAAACAGCTTTATTAGGGCAGCTATTGATTATGTCATTGAAGGAGGAAAGAAAGGTAAGAAAGAAGAAAATTCCCTAACTATGGGAAAAATGATGCTGCTCTAAATTGACTCTTGCATAAATGTTTTTGCTTGTTAGAAATGCTAAGAAAAAAAATCACGGATCGATCCTAAAAAAACTCAATTTCATTTAAGTATATTACAATAAAAACATTAAATATGTGGGAAATATTTTTACATTACCAACGGTACAGAATACTTACATAAGACAGCATTATAACTTGATTTTTCTGTTGAATTTTTTACATTCACTCTTTTCTGAACAGATTTAAAATGTTATTAGGAAATGTTAAAAATCATGGTTATTTACATGGCTTTGTAGAGTTGGAAAGAATGGTAGTTACATAGTTAGTCTATGTTGATGCCATCTAAAACATGCAGTTAGTCATGCAGCCAGAGGTAAAGGCACTAAGATGCTCCAATACCATGAAATGATAGGAAGACAGGTAAGACCCCATGCATGGTGACTGAATCAGTATAGGGTTACCAGGTGGTAAGACTTTCTTAGACAATGATTTTAATATGCGGTGTACAATTGCTGGGGTGGGGAATATTCAAAGGCATGAACTCTTTGTAAGTCTATGGTGTT